ATATATATATATATATATATATATATATATATATATATATATATATATATATATATATATATATATATATATATATATATATATATATATATATTTAATTATCTTTAAAAAAGCGGGAATCTCATGCAACAGTGCAAAACAGTAATGCTGCTTCAAGATATTTCAGACATTGGATAATTAAATAGAGCAAAGCCACACCACATGCAACGTGATCTTCCATTGTTGAGTGAACTTGATAAGAAGTGCGCAGCATTTTAACGCTAGAAAGCATGTTTTATGCAGGAATGTAACTGATATGCTGCATCGGCCCCTTTAAGTACGAGGTCAATGTAACGAATTTTGACGCTCTCGCCGCCGGAGCTGAAGGCAGACAGCGTTGTCGCCAGGGCTGCCAGAGTGACCTAATAATGCGCATTCACACGTTTGTGACTTAAGGAGACGTGGCTTTGAAGGGCAGGGAAGGGTCGTTAAATTTCTAAGCTATTATGCTAATGCTAGCATTCTGGCAGATCACCTACTGCACCTTTAAGGCAGCGTACAGAAAATAAACATAACACCAGCAAAGAAACAAGACACAGATGAACATAAATACCCCTATTGCCGACTATTGTTTGGGAAGTGTTTTTGCAGAGCAACAACAAACAGCACGCAGAAAAATAAATGCACAGCACCTTGCAAGGTATGCACCGTGGATCAAAGCGATCACTCGATGCAGAAGTATAAACCAGGCTTGAGCATCAAGCCCTGACATGAGCTGCTGAATCATCAGAGCTGAGAGCTTATTAATATTCACGACCCTTCCAAATATGGTCAAAGCGATCCATACAACAGGGTTTAAAATGGACCTTTAAAACCAATTTTGGAGAATCCTTGCACTTAACTAAGCCACATACCTTTTATGTAGTAATCAGAAAACAATTTAACATACTGCATCAATAAAACAAACAAATATTATAGAAACAAATGATGGAGAACTGAAAGATGAATCATGCGCAGGGTAATTGATTAGTTTTAGTGATGAGCGGTCAAACACTGACTTGTCTTTGCTCAGCATGCGTCTGCGGGCCTCGTGAGCCTGACTCTGGAGGAAGTTCTGCAGCTGGAGGGTGTCACACATGGTGGGGATGATGAAGTGGCCCATCTCATGCAGGCAGGGGGTGGAGCGGTCACTATGGTAACAGAATAGAATAGGGGAAAAAACAACAATGATTGACGGGACATTAAGCAGCACAAAGACTTCTCGGAGAACAGTGAGGAGACGCATCAGTCAGAAATACAACAGAGCCACAGGAATAACATCTTACCATTCATCCGCAATCTGTTCAGTATGATCTCTGCTGATGCGCATTACTGATACTATTCTGACTTGTAGGATTTCAAGCTACAGCGGTCAAGTTGTCATGAATGTAACTCTTCGGATTACTTTTAGAGCCTGGTCACATCAATAATGAAACCTATGACAAGTGCATATTTTATTGACATATCATTATATATACACTTGAAGTCAGAATTATTAGTCTCACTGTGTATTTTATTTTACAATTTCTGTTTCACAGAAAGATCCTTTCAACACATTTCTAAGCAATAGTTTTAATAATTAATTTCTGGGGGGGGGGGTTCGCCTACACAGTAGGTTCGCCTCACAGCAAGAAGGTCGCTGGTTCGAGCCTCAGCTGGCATTTCTGTGTGGAGTTTGCATGTTCTCCCTGTTCATGTAGGTTTCCTCTGGGTGCTCTGGTTTTCCCCACAAGCCCAAAGACATGTGGTACAGGAGAATTGGGTATGGTAAAATTGACCGTAGTGTATGAGTATGTGTGTAAAGGAGTGTGTGTGGATGTTTCCCAGTGATGGGTTGCGGCTGGAAGGGCATCTGCTTCGTAAAACATATGTTAGATAAGTTGGAGGTTAATTCCGCTGTGGCTGCCTCAGATTAATAAAGGGACTATGCCGAAAAGAAAATGAATGAATTTCTAGAGGTGTAATGAATCATGGTTAATTCGTGATTTATACCGATCACAACGCGCAGATCAGAACACGTGCCTTATGGATTAATAATTTTTTTCTTTACTAAATTTGTATGAGAGATAAAATATAATGACGAAATAAGTTGTGGTGTGTTATTCAGGATGTGGTGGGTTTCTTAGGTTATTAAAGGTGTTTTCTGTCACTGCTTGTTTAGCCTGTATTAATGTATTTAGTATAAGCTGCAGGATTAGTCTTTAAAAGATCGGGATCTCAACACCCACGCAACATAAATTATAAATTATGGTGATTTGCATATGTTTACTAATCCTTCGAATCGCTGCAGTCAAATCTGTGTTTAAAAAACGCAAAGATCAAGAAAGAGATTCAATCTTTAGTTTACAAACAGTCAAATAACACAGAAGTACTGGCATAACAGTTTATAGTTTAGATAAAACCACAGATGTCCTTATCAGCAACAGTAGTAGTAACTTACTTCCACTGTATCTGCTCAGCTAAGGGAACAGAACCAACCCCATGATGTCAGACACAGCGATATTCCAAGATGGTAGTGCCCTAGGTCTAAATGCTATAGTAAAACATGTTGTTTTCTTCTAAATTATTACATTAATTGAGTTTGTTACATAGAGTTGAAGTCAGAATTATTAGCCTCTTTGAATTATTCACCCCTCTGTTTAACTTTTTCAATGATGACAGTAAATAATATTTGACTAGATATTTTTCAAGACACTTCTATACAGCTTAAAGTGACATTTAAAGGCCTAACTAGGTTAATTAGGTTAACCAGGCAGATTAGAGTAATTAGGCAAGGTATTGTATAATGATGGTTTGCTCTGTAGACAATCGGAAAAAAAAATAGCTTAAAGGAGCTAATAATTTTGTCTCTAAAATGGTTTTTAAAAAAAACTTAAGACTGGTTTTATTCTAGCCGACATAAAAAAATAAGACTTTTTCAAGAAGACAAAATATTATCAGGCATACAGTGAAAATTTCCTTGCTCTGTTAAATGTCATTTGGGAAATATAAAAAAAATGTTAAAAATTCAAAAGGGGGCTAATAATTCAACTGTTGGTATATGTTTGCATAAAAGTGGAAATCAATTTACAAAATAATGTAAACTTGACTAAGTGCTTCCTTTCCCCTTGAAAGGGCACCTATTTTTACTCCTTTTTCAAGATTTAAGAGAAGTCTTTTTTGTTTCAGCTTAAAAAAAAAACTCTCCCCGCCCACCGTTCTGATGTGCCTGTCAGAGTGTGCCTCAATCTCCACCTCGGCTGCATCAGATAAACAGCACAGTGACAGACGGTGAAGGAAGCAGAACTCATGTAACGTTTCTGAGAAATACTACATTAAGAACTTTACCAATGCTTATTTTATGTATTGGTTAAGCTTAATCCAAGCCTTTCTGCAACGATGATTCACACACAATGTCATCACAAAGTTCACACACACACACACACAGCACACGCGTTTAACTTTGCACTGTTTTTCCCAAGCAAATGTGACAGGATACACATTATAATTCACTGCTGTGTGGATATCCGTTATGTTAATGTACAAAATAAACCTGATTTAACGTCCACAAACCAGTATTGAAGCATCTTCTTTTATAATTGGTCTGACATGCGGCTGTGGTGATAAAGACGGTAAAATCGCTGTAATTCATTACAAACATGCACTGTTTTAAAAGGTTTTAAAATTGTAAAACTCATTCTTGATCACACATGATGATCACAGCTGATCACAGACAGCTGAAAAGATCTTTTAATCCCAGTTGCATTGCGCACATCCCGTCTTACTGATATGATTATATGCGTTACTACGAAGACAAGTTAAAATGCAGCTGCCAATCTATTGGTGGCTGGGGAAACCACACTTCTATGTCACTTTGTGGTGGGGATCTTAATATGGGAGGGATTTGGATACTATTTTAATGTCATGTAATATATATAAAAAAAGAGAGAAATGTTGTGTTTCTATCACTTCAATATGACTGTGGACATACTATATTTACACACAGTTCTGTCCAAACAGCTTACAAAAGATGATTTTTATCATAGGAATCTTCTCGTTCATTTCATCTTGTGCAATTAGGAGCACCCTGCCTTAAAATATTTAAAAGCTGTAAACAAAGTCCCTCAAACAAAAGGCTGGAATGGAAGTATACAAGTATTTACTTTTCCAAGGTCATCAAGAGGCCCTGCAGGCTGCGGGGGTGCAGGGAGAGACGCTGAGGTGAGACTCTTCTGAGAAAGCTGCTGAGGGTGTTATAGTGTTCCTCCAGAGTCAGACCTGGACCCAACCGCTCCATGTGGACTACATGAATCCCTCCCAACAGGTGACTGATGCGCTCCTTCAGTGCGGCCGACTGCTCAAACAGGCTTCTGTAGCTTGGTAGTCTTTCAAAGAGCTGAAATGGACACAAAGAAATGCATTATAGTCAGCGTACATGTTAGTAATAAGGAGTGAGGGTTACCGCTTTCAACTGAAACCTTTGCTAAAACCCGCCCTCCTTAGTTACTGTTGCTAAGCCTGTCAAGCTTTAGTGCCTGACACGTCTATTAGTCAAGTCAAGTCAAGTCAACTTTATTGTCAATCAAACCATGCAACAGTACATTACACAGCAGACTGAAATTGCGTTTCTCCCATACTCCAATGTGCAATTTAAAAACAAAAATATGACACACACTAGACATAAACTAAACATTTAACTAATATAGTACAAGATAAATTAAATAATAGACACTAATAAACTGTGAACAGCTACCATATATCCTATTGTTCCAGAATATGACCAAGTTGAGGTATTTATTGTAGTGCAATTAGGTGCAGTATGGCAAAAGTGCAAAGTGCAAAGTAGCAGCTTAGAGGTAAGTGAATTTTGTAAACATGTTACACGTGCAAGGAATATTAACATAAAAACATTGAGTTTGCTTTTCTCACAGTTCCACAGATTTTTGTGTGTGTGGGCTGTGGATTGTGATTTTATAATCCAGTTTTCATGGGTGAGTTGAGCAGTCTAATAGCTTGAGGAAAAAAGCTATTAATGAGTCTATTAATAGCTAAAAAGCTATTAATGAGTCTATTACAATATGTATGCGCCAGTGTCAGACATTCCCAGGGATATAATTAGACATTTTTGGCAAACAGGTGAGATATCAGATAAAGCCAGACAAAAAAAGGACTGCAGTATGCATCACAGGGGTATATTCAACACATAAAACGTAACAGATAACAAAATAATTGAATAAAAATTGAAGCTAGAGCCTAGGCACCTCATACGCTGACCATTCAACAGCTTAGTTCATGCACAGCAGGATAGGTGAAATTTAAAAATAATCTAATAATAACAAATTAAACCATGATTTCTCTTTTTTTAACTTTTCTTTTAGCCAAAAAGCCTGATAGACTAATTGTTGTGTAATGCAATATAGCATTAGTAACCAGCAAGGAAACATGCATGACCAGTCCTTTTACACAATTCATTCATAGAAAGAGAAGTCAGAAAGTGGAAATTGGTGGATTTGTGCCAAATATAAGAATCACTGACTCATAACAATGTACAGTACCTATAACTGTCAGTATGTTTGTGTGCTCTTTATACAGTTTTGATTTTAGTTTGCAGCTAAGTGGAAGAAATAAATAAATTAAAATGCAAGTCAAAGTATAAATAGCAGAAGTGAACAAATAAATTTTCCCTCCCAGCAAATATTAATCCGACACTAAATATAAAAGCTGACACTAACCCGCTATACTGTCAAAATGGCCACCATGGTCACCACCCATCTTAAAAAGCTTCCCCGCTCACATATACTAATGTGCCACAAACAGGACATTAATATCACCAACCATTCCCATTTTATTAAGGTGTATCCATATAAATGGCCCACCCTGTAGATGTTGGACTGAAGCAGCTGATATTCATTTACACTGATGAATTGCAGAGGGTTGCTGAAAAACTGCTGAGAGATTTCAGCTGCTGTCTGGGCCTTCACTGCCTTTTTACACCTCTCTTTCTTCATGTGTTCAATACTTTTCCCTGTGTAATTTCATTTTACTACACATTTCATTACACAGATTTGTTTTCTTTGCATACAGTATATGGATTTATTTGTTTGTTTGTATTTGTTTGTTTTTCCCCAGTTTCTACTTAACGGAGAGAAGATTTTTTAACACATTTCTAAACATAATTGTTTTAATAACTCATCTCTAATAACTGATTTATTTTATCTTTGTCATGATGACAGTAAATAATTATTGACTACATAATTTTTAAGACACTTCTATACAGCTTAAAGTTACATTTAAACGCTTAACTAGGTTAATTAGGTTAACTAGGCAGGTTTGGGTAATTAGGCAAGTTATTGTATAACGAAGTTTTGTTCTGTTGACTACCTGAAAACAAATAGCTTTAAGGGGCTAATAATTTTGTCCCTTAAATGGCTTTTATAAAATTGAAAACTGCTTTTATTCTAGCCAAAATAAAGTAAATAAGAATTTCTCTCTCTCTCTCTCTCTATATACACACACACTCACTCACACACACACACACACACACACACACACACACACACACACACACACACACACACACACACAAACACACACACACACACACACACACACACACAGCTTAATTATCTTTTAATTAAGAAAAAAACACATATTTCTATTTTCTAATGATATTTCACTTACAAACTAAACATTAGAATGAGGTTTCATATGTGTGCTGTACCTTTGTCCATTGATGGTGGACATCTGTTGTTCCCAACATCACATGCCCAGAGGCATTCATCCCTGATTGGTCAGTAAAAATGATTATGTGCCCTAAGTTTTATAAAAAGAGAGAAAACGGAGTCAATATTTGTACACATGGAACATTTGGGCCCATCTAATCCCATCTCATGAATGGTATTTTCATGGCTACCTCTCAGGTTGAGCAGAGCCTCGGGGCTTTGTGTGGAGAGGCGACTCAGACTCTGCAGCTGACTGCATTTGTGTGCAACTCCCCATTTGCGCTGCCATCTACAGGACAGAAAACCACATGATACTGGCAACAGGATGTGAGAACAAGATACTGTGTCCAGCAGGTCTACAGCTTTTAGTATTACATATACTGGCATAAAAATAACTATAAGGTTGGTGTTTTTTTAAATGTTAAGCTCATGCAGACAGCACTTGACCAAAATATATTGGGAAAATATTGCAAAAATGGCTGGTAACACTTTACAATAAGGTTCCATTAGTTAATGTATTTACTAATATAAGTACTTTTATTATTACAGTATTTATTCATCTTTATTAACATTAGTTAATTGTTAGTTAAATGGTGCTTAATCTAATGTTAACAAGCATGCATTTGGATTTTAATAAGGCATTAGTAAATGTTGATTAGGGTTGCAAGATATTGGGAAAAAACATGTATTGCAATATTTATATTTTCTGTGATTTATATTGTGATTTTTTATTTTAAACATTAATTTTAGATTGATTGGGATGATTTTGTGAGGGAGTGCATAAAATATATATAATAAACAAACTACAAGCAGAGATAAATAAAGCAGAGCAAATATACAAATGAAGGAGTCTAACAGTAAACAGGTACAGAAATAAAATAATCAAATGTACAATAAAGCTGTAGATTCTTCACTGTGTACACAATTATATATGATTAATCTTTGTTAAAGCTACAAACATAATAATTCCGTATGCCCAAATGCTTTAAATTTGCTTAAAACGTTTACACATGCCTAGGGCCAGACAGAATCTGCGGGCAGTTTTTGCTATTTCTGCAGAGAATTTTGTTAAAGATCGGCGAATTTATGCGAAATGATTTTGGGAGAATCATAACTAAAAACTTAATATTTGACATAAAAATAATACCTTTTAAACTTTTATTGAATGTTTACAATGGAAATCCAATTAGATCCACTTTATTTCAAAGCAAGTCTCTCATATAAAGGGCCCTATCATAAACCCGGCGCAGTGTGGCGCAGTGTAGCGCAAGGCGCAGCGCAATACTCTTTTGCTACTTTTAGCTCGGCGCAAGGGTCATTTTGAGGCATTGCGCCACGCTGTTTAAATAGCAAATGCATTTGCACTCAAATGTGCGCCCATATGCGTTCTGGTCTAAAAAAGCAGCCGTGTTTTGGCACGTTGCTATTTTGAGAAACTGTAAATAGTCTGATCTTTAGACCACAACAAAGTCGGTCTATTGTCTGGCGCAAAGTGCACCTGGCTTACACACTATAAACAAGATTCAGAGCAATACACAAATATCTTTACATATGAAAAATATATAATATCTTAAGGATATATATATATATATATATATATATATATATATATATATATATATATATATATATATATATATATATATATATATATATATATATATATATATAT